GCATATATTTCTCTCAGTGAAACGTGGGAATATTTTTAGAAACCTTTTTCCAGGATAGATTTTCTTATTTAAAAAAATAAGTACAAATGTATAAATAGACATAAAAAATTTCAATCATCTGCCAGATTTAAAAAGAGATAAAATTCTTTTTGCGCAAAGAAATTGAAACAATTTCAAAACTCTGATAATCGTCCCCCGATAATTGTGGAAATTATGGGAATGCCAGGCTTCTCTGCACAAATGAAAACTCGAAAAAAAGAGAGTGATATACTTCTTAATGCCTGTAACGCTCGATCGCTTCGACTGGCACGGATCGACCGCAGCCGCGTGTGGAATGCAGCTATGCATCTCATTCGCCGTTCGACGTCCCTCGGTGAAACCGGCGTGCACGCACGCGTGGCCGCATGCGAGACACGCGGCCGTCCGTGCGAGAGCGTGTACTAGCGGATAAAGAGGTCGTCGTAAATGCCCCGACGTTAATTCGCCGTGAGTTTTGTAGGACACGCCGCGCGCACGGGCGAGGCGAGCCTCGGAGCGGCGAAGCTCGGCTCTCGGCCGAAACTTATACACGGCTACATCTGCGCCTGTCAGCGTCGGACATATGTCGAACGGTTTCTCGCGCCCGGGTTCGACGCCCTGCCGAAACTTCCTAATCGTCCTGGGACGTTCCAGACCGTCGGCCAAAACGGATTTCGGCGCGTTGTAAAGTCGTATAACTTTGGCCCGGCGGTAAACTCGTGGCTCAAGTACAATCCGGCTTCTATATAACAAGGATGGACTGAGTATAACTAACGATAATAAATACCCGCAGATTGGTAGAACTTCAGCAACAACTGCTGACGCTAAGTTCGACCTCCCCCCTTTCAAACTAATGGTTTCTTGTTAACCTGAATTTGCAAAGCTCAGCCAAACTGTAGTAAAACATCTACGTATCAAACTAGAGAATTAATAGAAGATAGATTGTTAGACTGTGTTTGTATCTCCATGGATTTTCTCTCAATTGCTTCTTGAGGGAATCGTGCTCTTGTGCAAAAATTGAATATGCTGTAATAAAAAAAAAAAAAATGTACGACGAGGTTTATTTTATATGTATAGTCGGATGAAATCGAACGGTTCTTTGCCCGGGTCAACGTCTTGTCATCGGCGCTTGATAGCGCTTCAATGTAGCGATACGGCCGATGCCTCATGCCTAATGATACACGCCGCGGTTTAAATGCACGCTGCGTCCGCGAGCTTCCGCTGATGGTAACGTTACGAAACGGATGATCGGGATCACTGCGCGTTGACATTGAACTGACACTGAACTTCAATCGCGGATTCTGGCGCGGTTCGCGTAGAAAAGTTTGTCTCCTCGCGTTTTCCCGCGAGCAAGTTCGCCGCCCGATCGGCGCGTGTAGCTCGCGAAAGAAAGTCGAGAAAGTGTGTATAATTAAATGGCAGCTCATATCGAAATATGATAACCTTGATAACCGAACGAAACCGGCGGCGTCGATCAACCGGCGGGGAAAGTTAATTAGTTACAGAGGAATGCTTTTACAGAACAACTCGAGAAATACGGATACCGACGTACCAGATAAGGCCCTGATAAGGTTTTCTTCGAATCTACCCTAATAAAGTTGGTCCGAATAGGACACAAACGGGACAAATAAACTTTTTCCTTGTTACTAGTTAACGAGGTCCTTTTGCTCGGAATTCAATAAAGACCCTCTCAGGAATGCCGTAATGTTCCCGAGTGGAAATAATAATACGGCCCCGATTAGAAACTGATTAGGTAACCCTCACTTAGTGATCGGATCTTAATTAGTACACTCGATAGGAATTTTAGATGTTTGCAAACGCAATGGCCCTATCTGGAACTGATCGAGCTGCACTACAGCCCTACTTTCATTTAATCGGGATTCTTATCGGATGATTATGAGGTATAGATTTATTAATTATTACGTCGGAAAATGTAATACAAATAATTTCGATAAAGTTTATATATTTTGATATACTATTATTTATACTATTTGAATATACTAATCAGAACCCGATCACCAATTGTAAGTGAGGCTTGTCTGATCAATTCCTAATGGAGGCCGTATTAATATTTCCACTCGAGAAATCGTATTTCTGTTTCGCTCGTGGCATCGCGCGTTTTATCCGCATCCATGCAATTACCGGATGTTCTTTCGCTGAAAGTGAAATTGCGTGATAACAATTTCTTCGAATTCAGCGATACAATAGACAAAATTATAATTTAGTTCGTGTGAAATTATTATACTTTAATATTGTATATAAATCATTGTAACTTAAGATAAAAATTTATTTGGAGATTTAATTTCTGAAATTTTGAATTATCTTAACTTATCGTGATTTATTAAAAATATTTGCTACATATTTTTGAACGCAGAAGCAAAATACAAATAAGCAAGTAGCAAACAGATTTATAAAATCAAAAACACCTAGTAAGCGATGATCGAGCGTTGCTTGGAACTTGGAACCGAACCATCGGCCTGTGCAAACCGGCGCGGCTCCCTCGGATTGCGTTTTCTGGCTTGGTAAGCAACTTAAGGATGATGGTTCCGTTTTATTTATAAACAGCCGCACTGCGCGCGAAGACTCGCTCGCGTGCGCGCAGCGAGTTGCCGGGTTGAACGCCTCGAAGTGCAGCAGACCCGATAAAACGCTAACGGCGTGCGCTTACATGCGCGCTTCTTTGTCGCGAAATTGTCCCGTCGAACGTCCGACTTTCCGTCCGATCGTCGTCGCCGTCGTTCTAATGGCTGACCGCTAATTAAGAGAAAATAATTGCCACGGATCGCGTTGGCGGCAGAGGCGGCGATGCGCTCGCTCTTCTTGCATAACTCCGGCGTTATAGTCACGCTTGGTAAAAAGTGTTACGTCCGTTGCAATTAGAACGAGTGGAAAAAAAGATGACACCTGAACCTCGACGAAGGCAACTAAGCGTTCGTACATCGAGAAAGGTATAGATATCGCGTTAATACTTATTTTTGTATCACTTCTTTTTAATACATAGATAAAATACATATATAGAAAAGAGATAGAAGAAATAAATTTACTTGAAAAGATTTTATATAATGAAAAAAATAACGAAAAATATTAATTTTTATTTTTATGTGTTTTCTAAATGACCTAAATGTAAAACGAAAATGGAAAATTTTTTTCTACTTATTAAAATAAAAGAAATTGAATTTTACGTCAAATAAAAGTATCCGGATTTCTAATTTAAACGTAAGTAGCATTAATCGCCGTTGCGGTGGAACTTCTTCCTATATTTGCGGTTGTATAGCGTGATAAATGACGCGGATCATGATGATTTCTAATCACCGATATAAAGAGCGGATCTCTCCGAATTAGCGACGCAAAATTTCGCGCGGAAATATCGACGTGCGGAACGTCGAGTGTGATACATTGGTGCCGGTAAGCATAGTGCTTGTGCACAGCGTCCAGTGTCTCGCTCAATTACAACTTTCATTCAAGTATACGCAAGAAAAAGAAATCCGCGCCGCCCCGGTCGTCGTACCCGAGTGGCGTGACTCCGCGCCGCGATCTGGCTCGACGACCTTTTCTGCGCGAGCATCGATGTCTCTTTTCGCGAAACGTGTACTGCAATTGCACGCCTACTTAACCCGTTGGCGTGTCGAGCCACACTCGTACTATCTCTGGATGTCTTAAGATTTGTGTCAATGCTATAAATTAGAAAATTGTCAGCTAAAAACTTGACAAAAATAAATTCAAGTGCCTCACTTGATTGTACAAGTGTCTTTACTGCAAAATATTGTTTCCTGACAACTCTGAGATATTCAATATAATAAATATTATCGTTCCTTTATAGATTTAAGAATATTTCAATATCAGAATAGGAGGATCAAGTTAATTTAAGTCAACTTAATTTTGATTTAATAATATTTACTGGAAGAGAAGTGTTGTTTTTTATTAAATAATGAAAAACTCACCATTCAGAGAATCTATTTTTGAAGAACAATAGAATTAATTAAGGTCGCAAGACAAAGATTCTTTATGAGCAAATAATTTTTGCATCATAAAGAAGTCTTGCAACTCATGATTTTTTTTATGATGTTTCTTCAATTGTTTATGACAGCTGCAGAGACATACCAACTCTCGGTAATAATGCGAGTCTTGGGCTGACTCGGTCCGACGCGATCAAATCTGATTGTGAGTCCTACCGGCTGTTCCGCCTTCGTGCTACGTTCACGGCCATTTTCTCTCAAATAGAAAGGCTACTTCTTCTATTCCTTACATTCTTACGCGAGAATCGACATAAAATACGTACGTAAAGTATCGTACATCCATTAAAGTAATGTATTATCCTTCAATGAGCATCATTTGTTATAAACCTGTTTGAAATAATGTGCATATGTAAATAATGCAATATGATAATGATATGTCTATTTTTGAACAACGCGAAGGTCTTAATTAATTAATATGCAGAATAAATATTTAATAAATTATTTCTACTAAATGTAAAACTTAATATAAATGTGATTTAATTAATTACAATTTACTCTTCTACATTTATTTAGTGTATTCGCAAAATGTTACAATTGAAAATCACCGTGTAATATAATAGAGTAAAATTTCGGTTCCGAAAGCCGTGAGCTTTGAAAAGACCTGTTTTTAGGCGGCCATTAAGGTTCTCCGGAACGGATATTGAGGCGTATATTCGCAGGCAAATTCGCAGTTTCCTCTCTGTCACGAGTCCTGACGTCATTTTGCAACAATCCAGCCGCCACGTGACAGGTATTTAAATGTACCGTACATCTACCCCCGCAGACTGCAGCATACAAGAGTTGGTGCCTCGCTCCGGCCTTCTGCGGCGTCGCGACGGCACTCGAGTGTCTCCTCCACCTTTTCCTGCGCCTACGTTCACGGCTGCCTCCTTTTCTCTCCCTCCGTTCTTCGCCACAGGGGGAGAGAAGAAGGCACTCTTTCTCAGGTAACGCGCCGCCGTTCACTTGAGCAGAGAGAGAGAGAGTCCGGTTCTTCAGTCTCGTAACGGCGGGCCGGAGGGAAGGAGCTCCGTGACCCTGAGGACAGTTTCTCGATTTTCGCCTCCGTTCTATTCGGTTCCTCTTTCTCCCGCTGTTTTTCACCGCGAATCCGCTCGATGCGAGACGGCGCATCCTTCTTCTCGTTGCTCTTCGGTTTCGCGAACGTGTATCGTTATCGGTTGCTTGTTTCTGTGAAGTGAATTATCGTCGGCGGATTGTAGACGGACCTTCAGTGGTGTACATGTGCCCTGGGACTAGAAATACATTGTAGAACGTAGGAGAAACAAAACGTAAGTCTGTGGGAAATGTCGCGTATGCCGCGAACGAGCCACGAAGCCGTAACGTGCTCGCCGCGCAAGCTTGATTTTGCGCCGAGCGCGCCTTTCTTCGAGTAGGCGTTGCAGGGTCACTCTTGCTGGCGAAAAAGATTCGGGCTCGATCGGGCACGAGGTCAAATACGATCGGTTTCGTGGCGTACGCTTGGTTTCCGCGACGATATTGTTCCTCTTCATTTATCAACAATATCGGATATAATAGAATTATATTAAATATCTGTTTAATCCTTCATTTTTGTGATAAAACTAAATTTTCTTTGACTCTATAAGTGCCGAGAAACATTTATTGCTTAAAATTTTAGTATGAAAGATACGAAAAATTATTTTTAAAAGTTTCGACAGAAAATATAAATATTTCGATGTGCGGACACGGCGTGAATCCGCGACGAATGCATTGTGCAAGGCACGGACGTACGATTACACGTGTAGAAATCCTTCATAACTGCACGAGAGATGTTGAAATTTACGGTGTCCGATCACGATCTTGTTATATTATTATGGAACGAGCTGCTGTCGATGACTCGCATTCAATTAAAAGCGATCGACGTGAAGAGGAACGAAGCTTATTCATGCGGCGTCTCAATGAGGATGCTGTACGGTTGCAAAATTAAAAAGAGTCATCAATAGTGCATACATGTTTAAAACAAGAATAATTATTTATCATTACAGCTGATAAAAAGTACCGCAGTAATATAAAGCTCTCTTTTATACTCATCATTAATCATTAATTCTGAAACAAATCCTCGCCAATCTTGCAGCATCTTCGTGGAAACACATGAATGAAAATAGTACCATAAAACCATGCTAATTTAGTTAGCAACGGAGTTTCCTCCGGAGATTCATCCCAAGATACAAGAAATAACTTCATTCTAGAAAATTTATCTATATGAATAGAGTGTGAGATTTATCTCACATGTATATCGTGTAACTTATTGCTACATACACGGTATAATTAAATTCTCACGTTGATGTAACATCGAGTTGTGCAGTAAGACTTGTTTTGACAATCCGAGATGTCCAAATGTAACCTGAATTTCAATTTAATAATTACATTTAATTACACAACACTCAGATGAAATTTGGAAACGAAAATGGAATTTTAATTTAACATTTGTCCGTGTCATTCAGCGCGCTTAACAGTAATAAAACAATGCAGCTAAGTTCAAAATCTATTTTTTTTACAGAGATGTACCGAGAACTTTTCTCCCGCAGTCTTTTACCTTTTCCGATACTTCGGACACTTGTTCCGTCAACCGCAGTCAGTTTTTGCGCCGCAGTTCGCGGATCTTCCTTCCCGTATGGCGTGATCGTCCGATAAATCGTTACCGTATCGAATCTATGCATAGGGTTGCATATAGGGCAAATTCGCGCCGTAAAACACTTCAGGAACGCGCGTTAAAGAAGAGAAAGTTCCTTGCATGCGCAATTTGTGTACCTTTCCGCTCCGCATTCCGCGTTCCGCGTTCGCAAAATGCTAATGAGTTATCGAGACAAATGAAATTACAAGTTACGTATGCATTTCTAAGGCATTTCTAAAGCTCGAAGCAAAAGATTTAAAAATGTGCATTTATTCGGCACGATGCGATAATTCCGTATCACAGTTTCAAACTCCATCCACGCGCCGCTCGAGAGAAGCAATCGCCGAATTCCTTCGCTCTCTTTTCCACGTGATTTCTATAAATTGTCGGATTAACGTAAACAGGTTTCTATCTATGCAAATTATTTCTTTTTATTTGCTTAATTACAATATCCAGGTTTAATAACGCAAGAAATATTGCGTCATAAATATTTTCGCTGCTGCGAAATCACGATTCGCTTTTAGATTTAATTCGCTCCTTACGAGTTAAATTCAAATTAAATCCAAGTATATTGCGAGTCTACTGAACCATTGATGCGTTGAGAGTTAGAGATTAATAATTAATAATGTTCCATTGAATTTAGTTCTTTATGATTTTAGAAAGTTCCAATTTTGGAAAGTACCAGCATATTACAGAGTCTAACAAAGAGAAAATTGCATTTGTATTGGGATATCAGTTTTTACGGGGGTATTGTGATGACCTAAAATTCTTTCATCGAAGATTAATCTCTCCCGCATTATGGTGTTCTCAAAGAAAACCTGTAGACCTGTAGCTTAGAATAGGTGGATAGGTAGGCAGGTAGCTTAGTAGGTAGATAGAAATAGGTAGAGGTAGAGTAGGGTAGGTAGATAGGGTAGGTAGATAGATAGGTAGGAGGATAAAAGTAGATAGGGACAGGTAGAACACGATTGAATATCGTCGTGGGTAGATGAATATTCCACGTGATATATCAAAGATTCTGGTTTCACGTATAAATTTTAAGAACACTATTCAATATCTCGTTCAACCCTCGCATTATAATAAACACGAAAATAAGCATGTTGCAAGCTGAAATTCTGCATACATAATTTTCATCTTAACCTTCGTTTTGTTCTGTATATTTATCGCGTGCGTTTCAAAAGTAAAAATATTTATCCCTTATTGAAATGTAAATGAAACGCGATTAAAATTTCTGTGGAAAGAATTGCGGATATGCAAATGGGATTTTGAAACCTGGCGTACCTCAAAAAAGTAATTTATTTTCATGAATTTGTACTTTTTATTAAAATTTGATTTAAGTGTTTAAGTGATCGTCGATCAATCGGATTCTCCACGGGTTTCGTTTGACTCCGTGATTTAACGACAAATTCACTGAAGCTATGACGCTACTTGGCTGGAATACCGTTAGCCGCCAACGGCTAGAGCATATCATCGCCGTGAGAAATTCCAGTCACATAACATAGATCTCGATGACCGAACAAAAGTCCCAAAAAGTGTTATGGCAATCGAGGCGCGACCGAAGAATTGCCATCAGAATTTCCAGAGTATTCCATTATTATTTTACACACGTAAAGGGGCTGCATTCATCATCTAACAACACAATGTTAGATCCACCAAATTCGACGACTGTTACCAAGCGTGCAGCGCGTTTTTCGCCTTTTACACGACGCGGATGCACTTTTATGGCGGCGAGGCCTCGTGATTGCGGCCTCCTTCGTTGCGGTAATAATTGCGCGGGCATTTTTCACGCTGCCAGAAACACGTAATGCAGCCGCGTCGGTTACCGCGCGGTATAACCGCGATGCAACTGCCTGGCCACGCCCTGAATGCTACCGCCGCGCTATAACGCGGGCATACCTCGGCCTGGCATCTGCGGCTTTGGCGGCCGCGCCTCGCATTTTCACCGCCGCGCCGTTCCCCGGTTGCATCTCTGTGCAATACGCGCTGCATCGCGCTCCACGTGGCCGCGGCCGCGACGGCACGGCGCCGGTCGCGCTTTTATCGGTCGACGAACCGCGAAATTGCACGGTATCGGAACGACGTGGGTCAGACTGCCGGGTCGTCGCGCATAAGACGTTGGATTTTGAAAATATCACGGAACACTCTCGCAAAGTGTAATAATTCATCTCGCAAAGAGTAAATTTCGCCGAGCAGTTCGCTCCAAATTTATTACTGCGAGAATTTTAAAGCTAAAAATTTATTTTAATTTTTTTGTAACAAAGAAAAGACGGCAATACTGTTAAAAAAAAAAAAATACATTGCGAATAAAATAAAGAAAATATAATACGCGTGTACTTATTTGATCACGTCCTCAAATAAATTCAGATAATTTTCATATCACTTTTGATTGGTCAGGCAAGAGAGTCAGCGAAGTAGTTAAACGGTGAATTAAACGACGCCTGAACTTCTCTGAAAACGAATGTCACGTCATGCTACCTCGCGACGTTCACTCATCGCGTGACATCGTCGTTTGTCGACGGTGCGAAGCTTTATCGGTCAGCGAACCGTGAGAATCATGCAGGGATAATGTGTTCGGGTTATTTTGCGAGAAAACGCCATGTGCGGCGTCGCGTCTCGGACCTCGACCCTGAATTTCTATCGACTGCCACGTGCATCCCGCATTCAGGAAACAAACGGTAAACCGGCGCCAGCTTAATGAGGACGATGCGACAAAAGTCACGCTTTGCGAGAACGAGGATGACGGTCGTAGTTAATGACGCCCGTGTCCTTCGTGAAAAAGAAATGGAACACGCACCAAGAGATCTAAGCGTAGTTCCGCGTAAAATAATATTACTCAATCCTCAGAACATACCAAGTTTTAATTAAAATTAATTAAATATTCGAAATTGATTTGGAATATTTTAGTGAACACATTCTTTTCTGATAATTGTAAATTAGCATGCGTGCTTCGCGTATCAATGACCAATACGCGCAGCAAGATGAGAGATAGAATTGGAACGCATTACGTTAAAGCCCGCGGGCTTAATGGGATATGTTTGACAAACTGAATGGCAGCCTTCGCTAATTAGCCTTCAAAATGAAAAGCGAATAATCCATGAAACAATTAAGTCGGAATTGAGAAAATTGGACTCGCTGAAGATTGCTCAAAGCATTTACTCAACGGACTTCTTTAAACCGAGAAATCCTGTCGTAATAAGTCGTTTTCGATTCGCGCATCGGGTTAATAAATGTGTGGACAGTGCACGCAGAATTCCTCGCGAAACGCGTTGCATGTTGCATTGCTATTGGGTGACAGACTCTTAACCGCAGGTGGCTCGAAGGAGTCCAGAACTCGGAATGCACTTGCACAACCGCCAGTCAGGCCGCATGAAAGAAACGTCGACTGACTGGTCGTTTTACCAGTATGTTAGATACCACTTTCAACTATTGTATAGTTGACTAGGCCGCCTTTAATCCCGCAGAAACGATTTCAACGATCTCGTAGCCTCGCTGTCGCGAGTAAATGTGGTCTACTTGCGTACATGTGTGTAAATGTAGTTTTCTCGAAAATAAGTTAAACAAACATAAAAGGCAAATATTCAGCTCGCTTGTTCACGGCAGGACGGAGCGTCGTTGTATGTTAATCACACGGTGGCAGTGACGAAGGAAAAGAAGGTC